CCACCAGAATCAGCGTTACCAGTGCACAGAAACCAAATTTTGTCAGTGAAAATCCAGAAACTTATACAGGTGCTTCTCCTACCTTGATCCTTTGAGAACGACCAATGGATGCAGCAAATTGTCTTCCCAAGAATGATCCAAAACATGTTTGTTTGATTAAAATTAGTAGCAAAGTAATATATTTTAGCTGAAACAAATGTTTATATACACTTATTCCAACGGCTGATTTTTTCTCTCCTGCCGTGGTACTAGTGATAGACAGTTTTGTCTCATTTATTTGACTACACAGCACTCATTCTACTCACTTTAGAAGCCAACAAGAAAAAATGTGCACTGAATCTCGCTTCCTGCCACAAACTGGCTCATTAGAGTATCAGAGCTCTGCTTTCTGAGCTTTAGTACTTTCCTCAGAACAAAACCAAACAGACGCAGGAGAAGCTGGTTTTTCTTGTGTGTTGTTTTGAAGGATCTCTGCATCCTGGTAGCTAAGCCCAGAATTGCTCTTCTGTTTGCATTAGATCCTGTGCTAAGATGACAGCTCAGTATTGTGTACATTATGCACAATTAATGTATACTCACATTTACAGTGACAGCAGAAAGCAGTGGGTAGAGCACTTTAAAAAAACAACCAACCAAAGCTTGAATATTAAACGTACAGAATATAAAAGGGAAACCAACTTGTACATTTTTAAAAAATAGGTTGACAAACCACTTGAGAAACACACCGAAGTAAGAGGGAATTTTATTTTTTTTATGCCTAAAATTAGGGATACCTTCAATCTATTACGATGTAGCAGCCTCCCCCCCCCCCAAAAAAAAACCCACCCCAAACAATAAAAACAATAAAATGTATTAGAGAGGATAAAAAAGACACCATTTTTCTGCTATGAAAAGCATTGGTGAGTCCAGATTTTGAGATGTGAAAACCAGAGTGTGAGCATGAAAAGCACAGTAAAATTTGAGCAGATATAGAGAAAAAGCATTTAATGTGATCACGGGGATGAAGCAGGCTGGCTTTGGAGGAGAGACCAGCAAGACTTCAATGCCTTAATTTGGAAAAGACTGAAGAAAGATAAACTCAAGGCTTACAAAATCAATGAGTAGCCAATAAAAGAGAGAAGCATTACTCAGGAAATCTTGCAATGCTTGTACTAATGGGCATCTGGTAAATCTGGGAAGAATGATTTAAAACTTATTAAAGAGAGATGATGACGTGCACCAGCCAGTTACTTCTTCTAGGACTTGCTAATGAATAGCAGTGGTGTAGGACAGAGCACTAAAATGGCACCTGTGGTACTAAGATGCTCTGAACTCTGACTGGAGTAATTCATGGAGCTCAAAGTGGGTCAGACCAAAGGTACTGCAGTCCTAATAACCTGCCCCAATAATGGTTAGTCAGAGATGACTGGAAAGACACTGCGAGGTAACTATGGATGATCCTTCCTTCCACCTAAAACTAACAGATAGTTGGAAATCAAACCAACCACTGAATTGCAAAGCCAGTGCTGACCCTATTCCTCATCACTTTTTCTGTCAAAAGCATCCCATGACAATGAACTCCACGATTCAGCAGGCCAAGGACAGGACTTCACTTTGTAAAAGACTCTAAACCTTTTGCTTAGGACTGCTTTGGACCATAGTCAGTCTGAAAGAACTTCCTAGTGTGTCACCTGCAAAAGCTATGCTCATGGTAATAAATCCAAGAGAATACATTTCCTAATGTCAACCATCAGAATATTCAGTGTGTTCTTGCATTATCCTTGTGCTGAATTACTTGTAGGGGAATTTGAAGGCATGTATAATTAATCCAAGATGTACATATGTTTATGTAGTGTCTGAGTTCTGCTTGGTGTTGAAAGGTTTGCGAGAAGTAAATCATTACTTGTCATAAAGAGATTTATTTTACTTTTCAAGAGCCAGTCTGGAGGGTTAATTTGATCATTTCTCCAGTGCAGAATTACAGACTATTTTGTTTTCACACTTTCAACTTCGCTGCTCCTGCTGGTATGACAAGCACTGAAGCTCCACCATAGTATCACTGCATGCATCAAAGTCACGTAAGACCAGGTAGGACAGGTAAACTGCAAGGAAGAGACCTCAAAATTTAGCAGCGTTGATACAGTATAAATATGGGAATAGAGTCACAGAATCAGAATATCCTGAGTTGGCTTGTTCTCAGATACTAACAAAGCAGCAGCATTAAATATGATTCCAAATATACACATATTTTTGGTACGAATACTGCGGGGATCAGCTCCATCAATTACAGAATTCTTTCTCATTCCATACCAAGAGCTGAATAAACTACAAAGCCAGAGGAAAGGAATTGCACTGGTCATGCTACCCGAATTAAAGATGTTATTTTAAAGAGGATCATACTGCAATTGCAAAATATTTCCTAATTTATTTTCTAGCATTCTTTTTATGCAGATGCTTATTACAGTAAAGATTAAAACAAGGAATGCAAATTTAGGATGAAAGCAAGCTTAATGTGAACTATATGTATGCACAGCAGGCAGCACGACAATTAACTTGTTCACAAACAAATCTCTTGCCTGCAAGTGCCATCAGTTCAGATCCTCACCAAAAGAAAAAAAAAATACATAAGGGAATAGGATAAACTATGGCATAAATAGCTTGAAACTGCTTCAGGTGACCTTGATGCTTTTTATTTTGTCCACTGACCTTCAGAAGGAGGCTAACAGACATCCACTGTTTACGTTCCACTGAAGCTGATTAGTTGTATGTGGACATATAAATATCAGAAGGCTAACACAATGTAGCTCTTCAGGGACATAACAATATTTACTGGCAGCACATTTTTTCATGTAAATAACCAGATTTATACACACAGGCACAAATGAGAGAAAATTATCAACAAATGTTAGAAGCTAATACAGCAGCTGACTAATGCCAAAAGCAGGGAACTGCCATGTGACTGGCTTTTGTGAATAGAGGGGGAAGGAAAAATGATTGTATTCCCTTAGAATTACACGTTCTTTCTTCATTACTCACCAATATTTTTTATTTCCTACAGCATCCATTCATTTTTTACAGTATTTTTTAGATTCCTACACACTGAGCAGTTGAAATGTGCTGCTGTATTGTTTGAGATTGTCAGAGAAATAATATGGTAGCAGTGACAAATGAAAAGAAAGAATTAATTGTTTTTCTTGAAAAGGGACATAACTGCTGTGGCTGCTGTAAAAAACCCAATAGATATTAGGAGAAGCAGCTTCATACTAAACCTCCAGATAAGCCAGTGTGACAAATCCACCTCCTGTGCTCGTTTTTAATTCATTCATTTTATACTGATACATGAGGTAATTTTTCTGGCATAAAAGCCCAGAAGACATATTACAAAGAAAACCTTTTAACAGAGGCTGGGTGCTGTAATAAGAGCCACAAGATTTCCACCTGGCCTTCCTCACTGAAAATCAAGTCAGAAGAAGCACTGAATTGTGGTGGTCTTGGATCCTCGGTTGTGCCCTTTGTGCAACAGTGATGAAGAGAAAATCTTTGTGTGGGATTGTGGTAAAACCATCTGGATAAGCAGGGGAACCTTTTGGCAAATGCAAACAATGCAAATGCAAACAAAACCAAATCACAATAAATAGCCTCAGATAATTTTGGGCTTCTAAGTGAAATTTTGCATACAAGTCAATTCCTGCCCTTTTATTGTTGAAACAAAGGAAGAACAAAATAAAAACATTTACACTGACAACATGTAGTGGCGTCACTGAACCAGCATTGCTATCATCCCCCTCATGTTTGCACAGGCTTATTTTCTTCCAGGACCAGCTTTCCAATAATATCAGATTCTGAGGGCTCCACGCCACACACCCAGTCGCCTTCCTCTGGGCACATCAGCAAACAGCAGCACCACATGGCAGGTTTTGTACAAACAAGAGAAAATCAGAATAAAACACATTGAGCAGCAATGCAGGAATAGGCATCTCCAAAGCTCACGTGCAGAAGGGATTAAGGAGGTGTTTCACCTTTCCAAAACCCTGCACCTTTAGCGCTCTCAGGCGCTCTGTGCTCAGCAGGTGATGATGTTACGGGCTGTACCAAAGGGTACAAAGACTCGCTCGCTTCCCTGGACCTTACTGGTTGTACGAGTGCCTTAATTCTGCTGGGAAACCAAGGTGTGGCAACAGCCCACAGCACGGGGCTGGAAGCTGGGATCTTTAAGGTCCCTTCCTACCCCGTGTGTTCTGCGTTTCCATGAAAGCCTCCTTTTCCCCTCCTGCTGCACCTTGTGACCGCAGACCTGCAGGTCAGCAGAAGGAGATGCGATTGGTGCCTGGGGTCACCGACCTGCAGGAAGCGGTGACCAACTGCCCTCCTGCTACACACCGCCGTGTGCCCGGCGTCCTGGGCGACAGGCAGCAGGAGTTCCCAGAGTTCCACAGTTTACGCTTACTCTTTTACCACACAAAAGGAGTCAGTTTGTTCTAAAGGTAATTTAAAGATCAGATTTGCAAGCGTATCACAAAAGCACTTTGGCCCTCCACATTCCAGGCTGCTGTTTAACCTTTCAGCCCTTTTTACCCAGGAACAGGACCAGACCTTTTCCACGAGGTAGAACATCTGCACAAACATCTCTCGCCGCCAGTTCCACCGCGGCGGCTGATGCACGACGAGCGGCCGCGGGCTCGGCCGCCTCACCGAGCACACGGAGCCGGACCGCGCAGGAAAGTCCCGCCTCGCCCTCAGCTTCCGCGCGCCCCCGTTCCCGCGCGGGCCGCGCCTCAGGGTGACGCACGCGCCGTTCCCGCTCAGCGCGTGCGCGGCGGTTGGCTCGGCGCCCGCTCCCGCGCCTGCGCGGTCGGGCAGCTCCCGTACCGTCCTCCCCCCCCTCCCCACCTCCCTCGGCGCGGCTCGCGCAAGCGGAGCGGCGGGAGTCAGTCAGCGCCCGCGGAGGGAGGCCCGAGCCCGCCACCGCTACAGCCGCCCGCGGGGCGGGGAGGAGGAGAGGAGGCGGCGGCCTCCTCCTCGGTCCCGCCGGCACCATGAGCATCGAGATCCCGCCGGGCCTCACCGAGCTGCTGCAGGGCTACACGGTGGAGGTGCTGCGGCACCGGCCGGCCGACCTGGTGGGCTTCGCCGCCGAGTATTTCACCCGGCTGCGGGATGCCCGCGAGCGGGAGGCGACCGGCGACGGCCGGAGGGTGGTTAGCTTCGACGGGGAGCCCATGCAGACCGAGTCCAACGGCGAGGAGGAGCCCGAGCGCGGTGACGAGGACTCCGACTCCGACTTCGAGCGTGAGTAGCGCCGGGGGGATCCGGCCCTGAGGGGGGGCGGGACGCGGCGCCCCGCGGTGTCCGGCGGCACTGCGCCTGCGGCTGAATGAGCGCGCTGCCAAGCATGTGATGGGCGAGATCATGTGTTGCGGTGCGGTCTCCTCTGCGCTCATCCTGGTGTTTCTGTCCGAAACCGGGGACGGGCCGGGTGGGCGACTTCTCCAGGCGCCGCTAATAATGGGAACAGAAACCCGCTCCTTTTGCACTGCGGCTCTCTGAGGCGCTTCCCCGGTGGGTGCAGTGAAACGCCTCCTGTGCCGCTCTGCCACCGCCTCGTGCGGCACACAGCGCTTAGACCTGGGGCTCTGCTTGAGCTTCAGCGCGAAAAGTTGCTTTAGATTTTCATGAACGGCACCTGTAGGCACACGTATGGTTTTGGACCCGTGATTAGTGAAATTCTCTGAAATATTCTGAAAACTCGGAATATTCTCTTTGTTAGAGAACGTCGACAAAGGGGGGAGGGACAGGTGAGAAAGGCGTGTGTTCCCCCAGCTGTCAGTCCTCTCATTGCAGGTCTTATACCCGTGGCTTATAATGTGAGTAAGGGTTTCCTTCTTGCTAATGATTTTCTTAATGCCGCTGAATGCGGCTTTGTTTCTTGATCAGCTTGTCTCATTGCAGGGTTTGAGCTATCTCTTGAGAATTAAGTGTGGAGTTTTCCTGGTGAATGCTGACAGCTGCACTCCAGGAAATTCTCTTAAGTTAAATGTGTTCAGATGAGAAGCCATGTGCCACCACAAATTTTACAGTTGTTCAAGCATAGCTTGATGTGGCGAGGCTTTCTAGTAGAAAAGTGGTTCCTCTGCTTCAGGTTTCTGCTCATCCCCTTTCTGTCCCAGAGGAAAAAATGAGCAAGACCGCTCAGTGTCACTTGTGCTGGTCAGAGCTCTGCAGGCAGGCAGTACTGTCACTGCTGCTGTCTTGCTTCTTATCTGAAAAAACGCTCTGTTCCTTGCTCACAGCTTCATTGACCCAGGGGAGGAATAGTCCCGTGTTGTACTTGGTCCCTGTGCAGTCAGGGAAACGATTCTTGCATTGTTTAACATTGTGTGGGGCAGTCAACCGTGGCTGTGTTTTTCAGGTTTCTGTTATGAATGTTGCCATAGAAGATTTTATTAACTGGAAAACGTTGGAAGTTAAGGGTTCTGGTATCTCTGTCCTACAGGATAGGAAAATACTCCTACATTACTCTGGGAGATCTTTGTACGTATTGACTGCTCAACATCCAACAGATATTCTCTAAAGATAGAGAAAACACATAACTGGAGGAAGTCTCAGATAATCCTGCTGGACAGGCTCTAATGCTGTGCATTTTTCGTCTTGGACGAGTTAGGGCAGATTTTAATTAATTTCACTTTGTTTTCCTAGGTCAGCTCTCTATATGTACCACTAAGTTGCAAAGATAAGTCAAACAGATATTATAAATGTGCTTCCATGGGTATTTTTAAATATAACAACAAAATCAGTGTCTGTGAAGTATGTTGAGGAAATTTAAACCTTGTTTGAATGACTGATCTAGCTGTATTTGCTGAGTGTATGAAAGAGGTCTGCACAAATAACGTCGTTTTCTTGTTTCTGCTTCTGGCCTCATGAAATCTGCGCATCTTACTGTTTTTGTGTGCTTAGAGAATGTAGCAGGTAAGTTACATTTTTGCCCCAGGTGTTTTGAGTGCAGATGGTAAAAACAGAAAGAAATAAAATCAGAGTAAACTTTGGGCTCAGTCTGTAAACCACGTGGCAACTGTTTTTGTGTAGCTGTAGGGATATCAGTGGTTCTGTTCCGTTTTTGACATCATGGTATTCCATCAGTGGAGCCAGTGACACTAAAGAGGAGACCTCGGTTGTCTTAGAGCACTTAAGCATAAATCTGGAGGTGATTTCTTATTCTCCCTGCCTCTTAGAAGTTTCGTCTTTGATTTGAGTCCTTGAATATGTGAATAAGAGGACGTTAGGATGTGGTTGTTAAGCACAGTGGAGTGTAAGGAATGTGTGGAAAAATAGTGATAGTGGAGGAAAAAAAAAAACAACATCCACCAGAAGTATTTGTGAGGCTGTGGCAGAGTTGATGCATACAAAGCTTTCCTGAGAGCCTTTGTGTTTGGTATGACTGCAGAACTGAAAAGTTGATAGAAAAGGGAGAAGATGCGAAGTGGCAGCTCCAAAATTCAGGCCGAGGACATTGCCAGGGATTCTCAGAAAGTGTCATTGACTGTGGTGCTTGCAACAGGCAGTCTCTGAATGGTTGTCCTAAGGCTGTGAAATGAAGGCCACAGAAGTGTTCTTGCTGCTGGAAGCTTAACTGTGGCTTTGCAAATACTTCTGTTGTAAGAAACCTGAGGGAGGTGAGGCGGCTCTCCTTCCTGATGGCTGAGGGAAGGTGTTGCCCCAGTAACCTTCCATTTTGTCTGCTTGTTTTTCTTGATTTGTTCTAATTAACTACACAAACATACATATTTATTCCTGGAGATCTTAGGCAAAATAAACAGTGGAACTAAAATATTGATCAGCGAGCCTTGGAGAGTCCCTTCCAACTCAAGATATTCTGTGACTGTAACTTGAACAACACAGATGTTATAATTAATTGCAGTTATTTTAGTGCAAGTTCCTTTTTCCATCCACATGTATCACCATAACGTTGGAGTGTGCTTTTCAGCTGCTTCCTTAGCAAAAGGTAACACTCATAACACTCATAGGTATACATATGTGTATGTATGTATGAAGTAAAACAGTCACTTTGTTGTATGCTCTGTTGTTATGTAGAAAAATGGTGCATATGACTCTGAATGAACAGGTCAGAAGATACTGATGAATCCTGCACTGGACTTCTCAAATAATACTAAAGAATTTGCTGAATGTCACGTTTAAAACATCGGTAGGATATGTGAGCAGAAGGGAATCGGGAGGCATGGGAGTGGCTCTTTTGTATCATCTTGGAAGTGATGCTGAATGAGAGTTCAGTCCATCTTGGAAATGTTTATTTTTTGAATTGCCAACACAAATGCCTGATGTTAATTTTAAACAGTTTTGGATTACTTCTCTTCTTATTGGTGAGCACCGTTTGCTTTCTTGTAATGATCTTGGCTGATGTGTCCTGTGGAATTCCTAGGGAATTACTGTATTACATACATTCTTTGTGATCTTGCACCTATGTGAGTTATCAGTTACCCATAATATGCTATTCTGCTCCCT